GATCTCTTTAAATATATGCTAGAATTTACTAAAGAACTTTTACATAATAATTTTGCTATCATTAGAATCAGAAAAACCTACTTTACAACTTTTATTTAATAATTCAAATTAGTTTACTTAACATAATTTTTTATAAATTTAAATATAAAAAAGAATTACCATTAAGTTTATATATAATTTTAAAATAGTACACTCTATCCTTAAAGAGTTATATTAATTTTTGCAAAAATAATTTTAATATACAAAAAGCAATTTCATAAACAAAATTTTGAGTTACAGTTGTTTTAGTTTTTGCATTACACTTGAGTTCTGATTAGTAGGATGACTCTTAGTGCTCATAGCACATTATGTGACGCTGCATATGACAACAAACGATCTACGGACGCAAAACATTCATTTTTGATGCCCTAAAATTTCTATACTTTTTACTGATATCTAGATGATCGTCCCCCTAAGCACAGTTACACTTTTTTTTTTCTCATAACGATTATATCGACTTCCTTTATAACGATAACGATAACGTTAATACTAAATATGACCCCTCCAAGAACACGAAAAAGAGGCAAGGTAGTTATACTTTTCAATAGAAACAGACGTTTTAGATAACTTTTTGTTAGGTTGCATTGGCGTTAGCGCAAATGCACACGCTTCTTCTTTATCACGGAAAGCACTGTCTGTAATTTGACTTTGGATTATCATGACTTACATTATTACAGTATTTATTTTTTCATTTTATACTAGGACGATATCTCTAACGATACTAGCAGCCGAAGCTATAGCTCTTACCACCACCACCACCACCACCACCACCACCGACAGCGCAAGCAGTGACGCCTCCACCACCCCTTCGCAAGTTAGTTTTTTTTCAATTTTTAGTAATGGAAATAGCTTGTATATAATTTAACATGTCACATCATTTATTTAACATGTCACGTCATTTATGCTTATTTTCATAAAAATGGTTTATTAATTACGGTCGTTATCGGTTAATTTGCTAATATTTTCTAAACGGGTTAGTAAGCGCTGAACTCTCAAGTTTAACTCGAATTTTTCATGTTCCAATCGAATGTTTTTTTGTGTTAAAGCATCAATCTGTCTTTCAAGACTTTCGATGTATTGT